AGTACATTATCTGCAACGGCACTTCATACTCCAGATGTGCTCCACATCTAAGTAAGTTGCTCCTGCATTTTTCATACTCACTCTAAAACCTTTTGTCATCATCATTGACCTCTCTCTTCCTCTCATAGTACACATCAAATTCAACAGCAAAACTTTTTAGGTTGACCTCTCAAATATATCTAGTATCCAAGCATTTTGTACCGCCTCTTCCATTCGCCCCTTAGTCTAAGCCTCTGTCATCTCCTGCTTGGATTAGTAGAGACCTTTGTAACTGGTTCCTTTGTATCCTTGCTTTCCCAATGTAGGTTATTCTCCACTCAGAGACCAAATATCCTTTAAAAGTTAACACATGTCACTTCTAGCTCAAAACCCTCCCATGACTTACTCAGAACCCACCTTACTCAATATCAAATTCCAGCTCCTTACATATGACCTGCAGTGACCTCTTTGACCTTGCCCCAGGTCCCTTTGGATCTCCCTCTGCTACAGCCACATCCAACTTCCTTGTGGTTCTTCCAGCATATCACTGCATTCTCCTGATTTGGGCTTTTGTCTAAAGCACTCCATTCCTACATGTCTGCAGACCTTACACCGCCCCCACCCCCTTTCTTTAAGTCCCTGATTAAACCTGCTGCTATCATAGAGGCTTTCCCTGAAGTCTTTATATAGAGTAGCAACCCCACCCAACTCCATCTCTTTTTGTCTCTTTACATTGCTTTAATTTTCTTTTGGACCACAAGATATATATATATGGGATTGTGAATTTTAAATTCCTTCAACTAGAATATATTTGCTAAGATGTTGGGGACTTTGTTTCATGAGTTGCCTGCCCATGGTAGCACTCAGTATACACAGAGCTAATTAATGCTTACGGGTGTCAAAACAATGTGAGATACATCATATGCACTATTTGATTTAATCCTCACAACCCCATGAGGTAGGTTTTATTACCAACAATAAAACAGAGGTTCAGGGGAGCTTGCAACTTACCCAAGATCTCACAGTTTATAAGTGGCAGAAGTGGACTTGACTCCATATGTTTCTGACTCCAAAGCCCAACTCTTAACCCCACCTTTCATTGCCTTTCAATAAATATTGAAAGAATGATTGATATATTTACAGAAAAACAAAAGTCTAACTGGATTTTCCTTGTTCCCTGGAGCTTTTCACAGTTTAATTCCATTTGCATTGGATGCTCAAGTGTAGCCTTTTTTTTCTTCTGTTTTCTAATTTTTAGAAGGAGCATTTCACAAGCCTCAAGAATCCTCTAAAAGGAGCCTTCTGGAATGAGTCCACACTTCTACCCACCATGGAGGCCTGGTCTTATAACAGTTTGGATATTCTCTCTATATCTTTTAAAAGATAATAAAATAGTATTAGCACTACCTAATCTAATGGACTAGGGTGGAGGTAATGGAGACATCTTTGTAGGATTGACTGTTTTCTTTGTATTCTCATTTTGTAATTTAACTGGATGCCTAGCATTTCTTCTGGTGAGAAATTTGAAGGAAATTTTAAACAAGGTTGAAGAATCTACTCCTTAGGAAAGTTGAAAAATAGAAATGATAAATTATTCAAATTAGCATGGGATCTAGGCTGCAAAGAAATTAAGCTAGCTTAGCTTTATTTAACAAATGTTTTTATTAAAATAGAAAGTCAATTCCACTGGTCTTTGATACATATTTTCTGTGACTGGTACGTTATTGAGAAAAATTGTGAAGAAATTTGGCATGCATGAACTGAATTCTGTCTACAGCATGGGACAGAACATTTGATAATCCAAACTGGTGTGTTTGTCTTTGTGCATATATACATGTGCAGGTAGCCTGTATTGTAAGTGGAGAAGGTTTATCTGAGTCAGCCAAACGGGGTCACCTGCTTCTGGTCAGAACTTCAATTGGTTAAGACTTTGTTTATCTGGACTATCAAATATAAGCTGCTCCCTATCAGAAAGTCAGACTAATGAACATGATTGGTTCACCCTGTTTTGGCATCATAACAATAGGTGAATTAATTTTTAACTCATTTTATTTAAAAAAGAAATGAAAAGTTAAAAGTTAGAAAGACCATGAAGAAACTATAGGTGGACTGAATCTTCAACCTCAGTAGATAAACACATATAGCAAATCCCATAGAAGAGTAAACATATAGTTTACTCTTTGACATTATCTAACCTGCCCCCAGGCCATGAGTTGGTCAATTGGTTAGTAGATGCAGGTTTTCTTCTCCAAATCTCACTGCTCACCTCTGATCCTTGACATTGACTTGCTAATTCCTTTCTTTTTTCATACAGGAATGGCTGAGAGGTTACTATGAATCAGGTCATATTTTAAGTAGTTTAAATATATATTAGCAAAATTTAGACCTCTGAAGAAGGGGTTATTATAATCTTTTAGCACATAGTAGGGGTTCAGAAAATATCGAGAAAATTAAAGCAGAGAGACTAGGTCACTAAGCTAGGACATGGAAGAGCCTCATTGAAACCCAGGCAGTCTGGCTCTAGAGAGCCTGGGTTTGTCACCACTGTGCAGTACTGTGCCTGCAAATGGCAGAGAACTCTGCTGGTTAGCCAGCAACTAGTACCTGCTAGGTCATTAAAGTGTACAAGGTCTGCTTCAGCTACGCAGAGTTCATCACCTGCTATGATTGCTGAAATGCCATTTTGAAGGAAGTTCTAGACAGGAGTCCAGAGACCCGGTTTCAAGTAACAGCTCTGTCACAAGCCAGCAGCATGACACTGGACAAGATAGTGCCTCTCAACTCTACAGTGTCCTCAACTGTAAAATGGGGGAGATGGACACTAAATGATTTTAAGGTCTCCTTTAGCTATAACATTTTATGAGTCTTCTTCCTCTATTATCTGTTCCTATTTCTATCATACTTTAAAAGTTAGAGCAATTGGTTTTTTGAACAAATCCGTGCACTACAAAGCTATGGATGATGCTTTGAAATACTTTGCAGTGATATTGAAGCGACTGCCTGTGTCATGTCCATGACTACTTCCAGGGACTCAATGTCTAGAGTAGGAGACAAACAAAAACTAATGATGCTCCAGTGTCATGAAAGGACTGGCACAGCCTTCTTATTCCAGGGTGATTTGTACAAGAGGAATCTACTTAAAGAGAATCCACTTGGCGATAGTGAAAAAAAATTGTACTGTGATTTCATACTGAAAAAGAATCTAAAATATATGAAAATAAGTATACAATTTATCTCATAATAACACATATATTACATTTCCAACTAGTTTTAATTTCTAAGATGAACAAACAATGAATTACATTTTAAGTTTTGGGGTAATATTTTTTCAAAAAATTTTATGATAGCCTGATTGGACATACTTTATTTCAAATTTGATATGCTATATTATCATTAAAAATATATATTTTTGCAATATTCAGGAATCTTTGGTTTTCCTAGAAGCCTCTAATAATCCTTAAATATTAAAATCATTCTCATTTATAACTTCATTTACTCTTTTTGCTCATTTTTTTTGATTAACTGGTTGATTTCTATAAGATTCTCATTTGTTATTGGTTTTGCTGGTCACTCAGAGAGTTACACAACATCAACATCATCAAGTTTATTTTTTCAAGATTTTCTACTTTGCTCCATAATATAATTGTTGTGTTTACATTCTGTGGTACAACATTTGACAATGAAATGCTGACCAATAGAAAGTTTGGCTTGTTGGGAAGAGACAGATCCTGAGCCGAGCTAGATAAATAAGGATGTTTGTGTGAGAACTAATTGCAATTGCTCAGGACATTAAAGAATATCTTCATACTGTGTCAACTTTTGCTTCCCTATGCTACCTCATAACTACCTCAGACACAAACACTTAGATATCAATGATTTCTAGTATAACACAGGTAATTATGATAACCATCCTATACTAGTATAATAAAAGGCTAATATGCAAATAGACTGAATGTTAGAACAACCGGAACAACTGAACAACCAAATAACTGAATAATTGGTCACTATGACATGCGCTGACCACCAGAGGGTGTGTCTGGAACATGGCGGGCATTGGCCATCGTGGGATGGCAGAGCAGGTGAGTAGGGGCACCAAACTAAGGTGGGGCAAGCATCTGGTGGTTACTGAAAATTCTTTGCTCCCATGCACCACAGTCCCACCCAATGCTTACACCCACTGCTGGCACCAGAGCTGCTACTCACACCCACTGCCAGTGCTGGCCCCACTCGCACCCACTGTCAGTACCCAGCTCCAGCCGTGATCACTTGGCGCAAGCAGTAGCTGCTGGCCCTGATTGCCCCTGAGGGCTTCTCCACCTCCCCCTGCTCCTGAGGGGTGATCAGGGCAGTATCTCGTACACACTGATGGTGCCAGCCCCACTCACACCCGCTGCTGGCGCCAGCCTCAATTGCTCTGTGCCATCAGCAGGTACGAGCAGGGCCAGCACCTTCAGCAAGTGGGAGCGGCAGAGGCGGGAGCAGGGGTTCCAGCAGACAGGAAACTGGGGGCCATAGTGGGAGGAGCTGGGCGGGGTCTCGGAAGATAGGCCAAAACCTGCCCCTATGCCTACCACAGCCTCACTGCCCACAGTTCCTTTCAATGTGCACGAATTCATGCACTGGGCCCCTACTATTTGGTAAGATTTACAGATACATACCCCTCTCATTGATCTACTTCCATTTGAGTACTTAATTGTGCTCCTACACATATTCACAAGGCTAAGATCTCTTTTGTCAAGAAAGTAATACTTCCTTTCAATGGCTAAATGCCTTGTACATTCACTTTTGGGGGAGCTACTAGAAAACTTTGTCTT